CCGCCTGGACAAAAAAAAAAAAATCTCCTTTTGTTGTATTGCTTGAAAGGTTTATGTTTGGTTCATGTATAGTAAGCCTTGTTGTAAAGTTTGTTTCTTCTTGCCTAGAAGCAGGCCATGAAACTCTAAATGGTGCTGCAGACGGAACATTGTATGGAAGCGTCCTTCTTTCTTTTTTTTTTTTTGGAGTGGAGTCTCACTCTGTCGCCCAGACTGGAGTGCAGTGGCCGCTCCCGGCCACTGCAGCCTCGACCTGCTGGGCTCCGGCGATCCTTCCGCCTCAGCCTTCCGAGTAGCCGGAATTACAGGCGCGCGCTCCCACGCCCGGCTGATTTTTTGATTGATTGTAGAGATGAGGTCTCGCTGCCCAGGCGGGTCTCGAACCCGCGGGCTCAGGCAATCCACTCACCTCAGCCTCCCGAAGGCGCGAGATTACAGGCTGAGCCACCAAGCCTGGTTCAGACTAATTTTTTGATTTATCGTAGAGACAAAATCTCTCCAAGTTCCCCAGGCTAGTCTCAAACTCCTGGGCTCAGGCAATTCTCTCACCTCCACCACCCAAAGTGGTGGGATTACAGGAGTGAGCCACCACATCCAGCTCAAAATTTTTAAAAAAATATAAAAAGCCAGGCATAGTGGTGTGTACCTGAAGGCCCCACTATTCAGGAGACTGAGGTAAGAGGATTGCTTGAGCCCAGGAGCTCAAGGTTGCAGTGAGCCATGATCGCACCACTGCACTCCAGCCTGGCCAACAGAGCAAGATCCTGTCTCAAAAACAAACAAACAAAATTTACATATTGAAATAGAGGTGAAATAGAGGTGAAAGTAGCTTTATGACTCTGGGTTTGTTCTGTTTACCTCACCCCCACTTTTTCCTATTACATTATAAAAATACTTTCCACTTTCCAATTCACAACAGAAAATTTGGAGGCTCTCATAACCTAAGAGTATAATTTCTAATAATGTGCTCACTATATAAAGAATTCCATTGTAATAGAATTTAGCTAACTATCCTCATTTGGCGACAACTCTTACTTGTTTATCAAGGGCCCTTAGATTATGTGGAATAACACACCCATCATAACTCTCAGGATGAGTCAGAAGCCACTGAAATGAAGGAAACCTCAAACTCTATACTTACTTGCTCTGTTGGGAACAGGGTATTGATATACTCGACAGCATTGAAATCTGCTCGATCTAGAGGATCCTGGCTTGGAAATACCTAGATAAAAAGAGACGATTATATATCAAAACATCATATTATATACCACAAATACATATAAATTTAATTTGTCAATTTAAAAAATAAATTTTAGGCCGAGGCAAGTGGATTGCCTGAGCCCGTGGGTTCGAGACCAGCCCAGGCAACCTGTTAAAATAAGTCTTCAATTTTCAACAATATCTGCAGTTTTGACATCTTGACATAACTAATAGAATGTACAAATGTGAAAAGTTCCACAGATATCAACAAAATATCAAGGACAAGAAAAATCAGCAGGCATTGTGAACTACTAAACCAGTCAATAACATGGTTGTATTACGGAAGCCTTGATGCTCAGACTTAGGCACCATGTCTCATTGATGTCTCAGCAGTAGAATTCACTATGCACTAAAACAATTTTTTTGTTTCAGACATTGTCAAAAAATGGAGAGCTGGCATTCAGGTTTAACAGAAGAAACAAAGCCACCTCTGTTAAACACAGCAAACTCCCTTCAAAGTCACAACCTGGAGAATACGTAACAAAGTGGATTGTAAAAGCAGTCAAATGATCCCCTAGGAACTGGATTTCACCAGTTCAAGAGAGTTATAACTGTGGGAAGCAACTTCATCTCGAAGAAGCCTTCCAAAGAAATATAATGTCAAAGAATCAAAATGTCTTCTAAGACAACTGTTAGAAGAGTTTAAGGCTTCTACGAAGTCAATGGGAAATGAAGGAAAGGTAAGTGAGAAGAAAGTGAAGATATTTTCTTTTTTTAAACGCTTAGCATTTCTGTTTCCATAATATACATTTATGGAGAAAATCTGTCATATGCACATGTATATAACCTCAATTATATGCACTCACCAGGGAGTGCTGGCAACGGGGCCTGCCATGAGTGTATGCACCACCATGAGCATGATATAAAAGATGTGAACTGTCCACTTCTTCAAGATGGTCTCAGTTTCTGCATTCCTTGTACTGTTCCTGAAAGTTATCTTAGGTTTCAATATGTTTATAACAAGGCCCCTAACACAAGTCAATTACTTCATCCAGAAAAAAGAGTGATCAGCTCCAATGCTGAAGGAAAAAACCTACAGCACTAGACTTAACAAAGACATGCTCATACACTGTACTTCATGGGTAATTTAAAGAATTTCAAGGGATACACATCTAGAGATTTTTATCTTATGCAATGACTTTGGATCACTGAGTAAAATGTGATTCCATTATTACAACCCTTCCTGACTCCTCACATGTCACTCCTCTTTACTAATATGCCATTACATAATTGTCTACGGAATTTCATTCAATCTTGGACTGCTAAAGTAAGAAAAAATTCTGAATTCATCTTGACATCAAGATGTCTGCTCACTAGATAAAACCACACTAAAACGTATTCTTGGCCAGGCACGTTGGCTCACACCTATAATCCAGCACTTTGGAAAGCCGAGGCAAGAGGACTGCCTGAGCCCACAGATTCGAGACCAGCCTGGGCAACTTGGCCAGACCTCATCTCTACAACAAATCAAGAAAATTAGCCAGGTGTGGTGGCAAATGCCTGTAGTTCCAGCTACTTGGATGGTTGAGGTGGAAGAATCGTCTGAGGCCAGCAGGTTGAGGCTGTGGTGGCCGTGAGTATACCACTGCCCTCCAACTTGGGCAACAGAGTGAGACTCTGACTCAAAAAAAATAAAAATAAACTTACTCTTAAGAAATAGCAAAAATAAGTCGAGCGCAGTGGCTCATGCCTGTAATCCCAGCACTTTGGGAGACAGAGGCAAGAGGACTGCTTGAGCTCAGGGGTTCAAGACCAGCCTAGGCAACATGGCCAAACCTTATCTCTACAATAAATCAAAAATCAGCCAGGTGTGGTAGCACATGCCTGTGGTTCCAGTTGCTTGGAAGACTGAGGCGTAAGGATCACCTGAACCCAGCAGCTCAAGGTTGCAGTAACCGTGAGTATGCCGCTACACTCCAGCCTAGGTGACAGACTGAGACTCCGACTCAAAAAAACAAGAATGGTAAAAATATGATTTTCTGATATGCCCATCAGTCAAACAATAACTGACTGCATTACACATTTCTTCCATTAGAGCCTGCTAGGTCCTAAGAGCAATTGAAATGTATGTCTTTTTCTGGCAAAAGAAGGTGGATGTTGGAGCAGCAAGGCCCAAACACAAGATGCTTTGCCCAAAGGTTTGGCATCCCCAGGCAAATATGGTTCCCATACATAATCCAATCACTTCTAGAAAAACACTTCTAAAAGTCTACAAACGGGACAATATAAACATGTTACTTAATACAGTGGCAGACCCATGGAAAGACTAATGGTCAATATGTATTAACTTTTTATTTTTTTGAGTTGGAGCCTCTCTCTGTCACCCAGGCTGGAGCGCAGTGGCATGCTTATGGCCACCATAGCCTCAGTCTGCTGGGCTCAGGTGATCCTTCCACCTCAGCCTTCCAAGTAGCTGGAATCACCACCACACCCAGCTAATGTTTTGATTTATTGTAGAAACAAAGTCTCACCAGATTGCCCAGGCTGGTCTCAAACTCCTGAGATTAGGCAATCCTCTCGCCTCCGCCTCCCAAAGTGCTAGGGTTACAGGCATGAGCCATCATGCCCGGCCAGTATATATGAACTATTGGTAGTAGTAGAAGTAATGTTTTACTGGGAAAAACTTCCCAGTGGTCATAAAATGAGACATACGTGTCCTTTTCTTTTCTTTTTTTCTTTTGAGTTGGAGTCTCACTCTGTCGCCCAGACTGGAGTACAGTGGCCG